AATGGAATATTCTGTGGATTGAAAAAATTAAAAAGAAATATTCTATCCACTGAGTTGTAGCAATGGACAGGGAGAATGTTCTTGGAGATTATATTTAATTTGTTAAGATTTTTTTCTTTTTCTTTTTTATTTTCTTTCCAAATTCAGTTGTCTTAGGATTTTGCCAAACAAAGAAGATTTTTTTTGGGGGGGGGGTGGAGAAGGCGAAAAGTTTGAAAACCCAGGTGGGACTTTTCATTTTTGGTTTATTACATAAGATATGTATTTCCACAGATTCAATGTATTTCACCAATTACTAAATAATATTTTTTTTATCTAACATTTTTTATGTAGAAAACATCTTATCTTTTTTTTCAAGTGGATTCATTAATATTTTCTGTTTTGATTTAATTAGATATCTTACCACTATCAAAAAAGAAAAGATATCTTAACGCATTCGGGTATTGAGGTAAAAAATTCTACTACTTTTTAAATCAGCAAATGTAATATTTGATGCATTTTAAATTTCCTTTAAGAATGCTTTTTGATATTTTAGTTTTTAATTTTTAATATTCTTTACTATTTAATAATATATAAAAATTAATTAAAATAAATATTAATATATTTTATATATTTTTAAGATAACAATAAAACCAAAAATTTTACAATTACAAACTAATTCAACGATTCTAAACAAAATCTGTTTACAGAAAAAAAAATATTTTTAAACAAAACTTTTAAATAAAATTTTAAATTCAAATCTCATAAATAAAAAGATAAATATTAGGCATTATGAGAACTTCATCCATATGGAATTTGACGTGAGTTACTTTAAATTAATTAAAATATAATATAAAGGTTTAGAGAAAAAAAGAAAAAAAAAAAGACCTTCAGTTTCCAGAGAATCTAGCACACTTGACCATGGGCCGAAATTGGTTGAAAAACCTAAATGACTCTCGCGATATCGAGCCCACCACTAATAGAGATTTTTTTCTTTCTTTCTTTATTTTAGGAAGCGGTAATTTCATTAATGATATTTTTTTTTTGATATTTCATTAATGATATTAATATGATAGTATTTGCTAGGAAACAGTAGAGTTTCAATCTAGAGACTTGAACCTTCTCACCAAGGATCTCATTACTTTATTTCTTAAAGAAAAATTCGGCTACAAAGGCCTAACGAGCGATTGAGTCATCGTGTGTTGGAACGATGAAAATCATCATTGCTCTTGTTTGTATGCTACCTGTGGCCCATGCCTCCTACTTGTTCAGGGCAAGTGGCGTGAACTCTGAATGACACTCCTAGGGAAATAAAGTTGACAAAGAGCCCAAATAAGACTTGATATGTGTCTTCGGGAACAGTATCTAGTTTAATAAACATATTTTATCTTGATATTCAAAAACTAAAAGGGGAAAAGAAGAAAAGAACAACAACGAAAACAAAAAGTAATTGTAATTGAAAAAAGTGTTATGCAGTCTTGTAATTTAAATTAGTAAATGATAGTGAAATTCTTAATATTAAAAATTATTTATATTTAATAAATTTTTTAAATATGATACACTGTGAATTACAAAAACAAAGAATTATTTATAATGAGCACAATAAAAAAGAAAAAAGTTTGTTACCACAAAAATTCCTCATACTGGGCCTAGACTGGTACCAGTTCGTTATGTACCTCAAGTAGTACCCAAGCTAATAAATAATTAAATAGAATCAGGTACTATTTCTGAAAAAATAATAATGCAAAAATAAAATAAAATAAAATAAAAACGATGAGAGTTGTGTTGAGACTTGAGTTGTCACTAGTGTGACTTGTGCCTTGACAAATAACAACGACCTACAACCACTTGGGTGATGATAACGAGATAGTTGTTGCAAGCATTGCAAACATTAGATCCCACATTGAATCGAGATGTGGGTTTTTAAAGATAAGACGTCTATAAGAACTTTTGTTGAATCGAAGATCAACAATGGTATAGGTTTGCACAATGATACTACCATTTCAATTACAAAACTGTCCCCTCTTGTACACTAGTTGTTTTAAAGCCATATGTAGATTTTGGTTGTCGTGGGATTTTTAAGAACTCAGTGAACTCGTTACCCTATGTGGTGTCAAGGCTAGAAACTCACAATCTCATCAACCTTCTCCCTCAACACTGAATGAGTCGATTATGGTTCATCCCATCATCATCTAAACCATAATCACCTAACTTTTCAATCGATTTCATATTCTTTGGATGGTTTTTTGAAGTATATTTTTGTCATGAATTAAGAGACTATATTTTTGGTTGAAAAAGATAAATTTTATTTAATCGATATCATAAAAGAGCAAAGTCCAAATTTGAATTTGTGAAATCAAACTTATGATGTCTTTTACTAGTTAAGCCATTTTGCCTTTTTCAATTTTGAGGAGTTGCTATGAACTCCAATTAAGTTTTTGGTTTGTTTTTAGGATATATA